GCACACATGCACGCGCCTGTGCCTTGCTGCTTGCGTGCACACTGCTTGCGAGCACATGCATGTGCTTGCGCGTGCACAGGGGCTTGCAAGCGCACGCGCTTGCACATGCATGTGCACACGCTGCAGAGCAGCTGAGCTGTCCCATCGGGGACACGCGTGCGCCCGCTGCCCCTACAGGGACACGCGTGCAAGCATGGGCACGCGCTGGTGCGTGCACACTCACGCACGTGCATCTACCGGGGACCTGCGTGAACGTGCAAGCTCACACGTATACACGTGTGTGCACTCACACGCGAGCAGGGACACATGCCACCTCTCTGCCCCRCCTCTCCAAAATAAAAGACCCCTTTGGCAGCCCCATGGAGCTCTTGGCTGCCCCCCGCCCTGGGCATCCCCAAGCCATTGGCTTCCTCCCAATGCAGCAGAAATATCCATCCCTCGGGGCCCTGCGGCATTTTCAGCTCCAGTGGTGGCTCTTCCTGTCGCAGCTCCCGGCGCGGAGCGGCCCCAGCGCCGGCCTCGCCCGAGGGAAAGGGAGGGTGATGAGAGAGGGACGGGGGCRCTTGGAGACGGGGGTTGTTCCTGGATGGGTGCCTGGTGCCGGTGCCTGCCCATGCACCCATCCCACAGAGCATCTCCCATCCCGCTTTCCGGGGGGGACGGGGAGCTGATTTGCCTCCCACCATCTGGGACCCCACGGCAAGGGGGCCYGGGTGTCCTGGCCCTCAGCCCCGTGGCTCCGGCCAGGCCTTTGGCTTCCACCTTCCCACGGGCCATTGAATCCCTGCCCCGAGTGCTGTGTCCCTGGACACAGTCCCCAGAATAGCCGGATCCCAACGGCGCAAGCCTGGAAGCTCCGCGYCCAGAATCGGGGAGCAGATTTGCTGCCTTCCACGACGCCGGTGAAGGATCCAGGATCCGAAGGAAGAGCCGAGCGCTTCCGAGGAGAGCCGGGCCCCGCCAGGGGGAAGCGCCCCGGGGGCGGCAGCGCCGCGAGGGGGGACACCCAGGGGTGGCCCSGGAGCTCTCCATGTGCCTCAGTTTCCTCCCAGGGGGGGACAGGGGTGTCCCCCGGAGCAGGAAGCGGTGACGTCACAGGCACGAGGGGTGACGTCACAGGGCACAGGAGGGCGCCGGCAGCCGTTCCGCTGGCTCGGAACGGGGCGGGTGCAGCGGGGCGGGCGCCGGGCACCGCCGGGCACCGCCGGGCACCGCCGGGATGGCCTCCCCGCTGAAGATCAGGCAGGTGAGGAGGTTTCCCCACGGGGGTCCTGTGGGACAGCGGGCGCTGGGACGGGAGGGGACGCTGCGGCTGGGGTGGGGGGGGACGAGCCCACACAGACCCACGCACGGCCTCGTCCCCCCTGCCAGGAYGACTCGGACGTGGACGACAAGTGCTTGCCCATCAACTACAAAGACGTGGTGCGCGGCGAGGTAGGAGGCTGTCCCTGGCGCCACGCGGGCTCCGCAGCCGCCGCGCTCACGCCCTCGCCCTCGGCAGGACCTGTGGGACCGCGAGGAATACCTGTGCCACGTGTGCATGGGCCGCTTCCTCGCCCACCCCGCCTTCAAGCTCTCCGTGGCCGTGCTCATCATCACCAACGTGGCCGTCATCGCCACCCAGGCCATACCGCGCTTCAAGGGCGTGAGTGACCCCAGCCCTACTAGCCACCCGAGAATCTTGTCCAGGCTGGCTCTCTCCTGTGGGGAGCAGCTCCTGCAGCTGGAAGTGGCTAGAAAGGGCAACACTTCCCCCTCAGAGCCGCTTTGGGTGGGGAAAATGGGACGTTTGTTTTTATATTTCATATGTTGCCCCCCATGCTGGCCCTCCACGAGGAGCTGTAAGCATCTCGTCCCCTCTCGGGCAGGCGAGTGACCCGTATCCACCCCGGGGACAGGACGGGGCTCCTGCAATGCTCCTCAGTGCTTGGTTCTGTCCTCTCTCCAGATCTACTTCTCGCTGAGCACGGCCATTGACAACATCGTGCTCATGGTGCTCTTCTTTGAGGTACTGCTCAACTGGTACAAAGGGTTCTGGCTCTACTGGAAGGTGAGTGAACCTGGCCAGAGTCCTCAGCATCCCTGTGCTCCCGTCCCTGCATCCCCATGTCCCTGCATACCTACGTCCTTGCATCCCTGTGCTCCTGTGTCCCTGCATCCCCATGTCCCCGCATCCTTGTGTCCCTGCATCTTTGTATCCCCGCATCCCCGTGTCCTTGCATCCCTGTGTCCCTGTATCCCTGCATCCTCATGTCTCTGCATCCCCATGTCCTTGCATCCCTCTGTCCCTGCATCCCTGTATCCTTGAATCCCTGTGTCCCTGCATCCCAGTGTCCCTGCGTCCTCATGTCCTTGCATCCTCATGTCCTTGCTTCCCCCGTCCCTGTATCCCTGCATCCCCATGTCCCTGCATCCCCATGTCCCTGCATCCCTGTGTCCCTGTATCCCTGTGTCCCTGCATCCCTGTATCCTTTAATCCCTGTGTCCCTGCATTCCGGTGTCCCTCCACCCCCATGTCCTTGCATCCCCACGTCCTTGCATCCTCCTGTCCCTGCATCCCTGCATCCTTGTGTCCCTGCATCCCYGTGTCCCTGCATCCCGT